TGAAAAGTAAGTTCTAAGACTGTAAAGGTGGGTCTAGAGTACGTGTGCGCACCTCCTATCCCCTCCTGAATGTCCTGATCATAATGGTGCACCCCTCATAAAAAAACTCCTGTATCTGCCCCTGGACTAGCTGCTTAATTTGGTTAGCATAAAAGGGAGAATGCTTCATAGTTACCTCAATGATCTTCTGAGTCTCCCGCCATTTTGTGGTCCAATTCTTGGTGAGCTCTTCTACTTTAGCTTCGTTTTCATGTAGCTGTTCGTTGATAATGTGTTTTTCTGCTTCTCCAATAGACAGGTCAAGACCATTCTGTTTTGACAAAGAAAGAAAAAAAACGCACTCAAAATAAGGAATTACCACTACACACACTACCCGCCACACCCCTCTCACACTAAAAGCTTAGCAAAGAATTATAAAAACACAAATTCTACTCACATCTACTTTATCTTTAAGGAGCATCTTGAGCCTCTCTATTTCAGACCTCAGCTCTCTGATCAACTTAACATTTGGATCCTGAAATAATAATAATCACAGTAAGATAGAAAATAAAAAATCTCCTCTCAAATCAACCCTAACTAATTCAAACTGGTTACAGCTGTGCTCTGAGGTCATACATGGACTGTATAGCAGCTGCCAGAGGTGCCTTCTCATTGCTTTCAGATCGACCCCGTTCAGCAACACCAGCGCTGTACTTGTGGTGGTGATAAGAAATAAAAACTTTTACTCAATGAGGAACTATTCATTTCTGGTAAGATTTTTTTATACTTGTAGATATGGATATGTAAAAGTATTCCTGCTTACTTCATTGACAGTTGGTTTGTTGATGATGTTCTTGGCTCTGTTTGCATATCGTAGTGTACTGAGTGTCTCTGAGTAATTAACATCAGCAGGAGAGATTGCTGAAAGACAACAGCAGATAAAGGTCAAGGAAAAGGGTATACACTAGCGACGTCAGCTCAATACCATTTACCCCCCTCTATCAGTGCTCTATTTGAATGGTATTTTAAGCTATAGAGTCCAGTGATGTCACATCAATTGTGGGAGATTACTTGGCATCGAACTATGGTCTTCTCCCTTTGCAGAAAGAAGATTAATAACAATTGAATGTTATGCAACTTAAGAGACTAGCTTACCTGCAATCATAATGGTTTTTGCATTGCCGCCCAAACTATCTTTCAATAACCAAGTCAAGACAGAGTTTCTGTATGGAATAAAGAATTTCTTTTTGGAGTCTCTTGGACTGTGATGATCGCTGGCATCAGCTAAAGAAAAAAAAAAATTATTAAATAAAATTACATTATTGAAATTCATTAGAGATTATTACTGATATATTGAGTTGCGAAAACCATTCCAGGATTTAAAATCATGGCTAGTACTGTAAGTAGCTGGTCATGATGGCCAAGTATTCATACCTTGTTCTATTGCTCAACATTACTAGCAACATGCCCAGTAAGGAAAAGACTAATTTGACCAGACAAGTTCCAATTCTGGCCAGACATTGTCTAATGACTGGCCGTCACTTTTAGGCCTGATTTGTAATAGAGCAGTTTTCGTATGACTGTGAAAACCTCACGGCACAAACACAGTCGTGACACGGCAAGGGATACGCCAGACCAATCACACTACTTGAAAATTTACTCTCCATCCAATCAAATACCCGGAACACGGCATAAAACCAGCAGAGACACGGTCACACCAAGGTCACAGCACTGTCAGACCAATCACATTGCGCAAGAAAAAAATCAGCCAATCAAAATTCTAGAAACCATGGTCACGGCAAGGCACGCATACAGCACTGAGCTTTTGACAGTCATACGAAACTGCACTAAGTTCTCTGTGATTACATGCCACCACTTCTATACATGACTGTATACATAGACCTTTACTGTTTTCTTGGATACTCACCGAGACATGATATGACAGTTCCCAAGGTAACCAGTGACTTGTTGATGTTTGCTCCCTCCTTCAGTCTGCTTCCTGTAGCACCAGTAGAGTTGGCACGTTCACTAGAAATAATAATAAATATATCTCACTGATTTAGCTCACAATAGGCTGAGCATACCTGGAAACAGCTAGAGGACAAGGCAAGGACAGGGATCTGTGGCATTCAGTTGTTGAAGGTCTATAACCCCATAAGGGGTGTACAGGGTTAGGAGGATTTAGCTCACAATGTTACTTATCTATACCAAATAAGAGCTTGATAACAGTGTTGTCTAGACAATCCATTACCTGCCTGCCAAGTCGACCAAGTTGATTTTACTTAGTGTTTCACTGGGCATGTTTTCATGAAATTTGGCCTGGGAAAAAAAGTAAAAATATAAATKAAATGGCGTGAAATATTTCAGGTCATCACAATTATCATAATAAAAATAATTATCCTTGAGTCCTTGAGAGGATGAGATTGACTTACCTGGGTGAAATTAATGGTGAATATAGCATGGGATCTGCTGCTGACGTCATTCATGTTGGTGGATGCTACAGTTCTGAACAGCAAGATTGAAACATTCTTATTATCACTGTTGTATATTTGTATTACTTTCTCCAGGTACCATCAACATCTTCATGATCATCTTCATTGCCACTACCAACATCATCACTCATCACTGCTATGTTTATTATTGTCATCACCAAATACTTTTATTATATTCAACATCATAATTATAAACCTGTCACTATCACCATCGATCAATGCCGCTACAATCAACATAATTATCAACCCATCACTACTACTATCTCCATCATCACTGTCGCAGTTATCCTTGGGGGTGACAAGCATGACACCTATCAATACCAAGCATTCTCGGAGCATGCATTTTGCAGTGCAGAGTGCTGGCCTCTTACCATTGGTTCCCTTCTGTGCTTTGAGAGTTTTTCTTCTGACTCTCTGGTTTTCCTCTCTCCACAAAAATTAACTTCTAAATTCCAATTCGATCATGGAACGAGGGGCACTGGTTCGTTACCCACTGGTTAGTAAGTGCTACCCTCATAAAACCAAGGATTATTTTTTGTCTAAACAAATACCTGTTACTGTTCCCTGATGACATCAGTGTCTCAATACCCTCGTAGTCAGTCACAAGATGACTGGTAAGATCTGAAGAAAAACAGAAATGTAAGTCAGACAAAACAGCTGTTGGGTTTCCTGTGGTAACAACACAGGGAGCCCATGCTGGGTTATTCTTCTCACCTTGAACATAGGGCCCTTCTTTTGGATGCTCTCTGACTTTTAGAGTGAAGTGATCTTTCCCTTTGGCAGGTTGAAGAAGATCTCGTACCTTCTCATTATAAATTTCCAAATAACTGATGAAATAAAAGAACAAGTTTTTATGTTCCTGTAGTCAGAAACTATATGCATTAATAAGCATAAATAACAGCTAATAGATTATATAAATCGTACCTGACTTCTGTTCTGAACTCAGTCTTTTTGTCCGCACAGGAATTCATTCGTGCATACAATCCCTGTCATGATAACCAATAATATTTATTATTTATTATTATATATTAAAAGAAATAAATTAGAAAGATTTAAAATAATGCTCAAGAGACATATTGTCTCATTGCATGGTCTTGATTATCATTTTTGGTATGATTCTTCTTCTTAATATCTAAATTATTATTTAGGATTTACTATCCAATAGGTCACCTCTTTGGCTTCCAAGGTGCAATATTTTCCCATTACACACTCAATTGAAGAATCGTTGTCGGGTTCAGTAACATAGAATGTAGAAGCTGAGACTCAAATGGAACATGGGAAGTACATTAATTAGATGCATGCTGTGACAGGTGACCTGTGGCAAATGGCTCTCAAATGCAGGTCTTCAAAATACGTGTTGGGCATTCTAAACCTACTGCATGGATGACTCAAATGAATAAATTATAATTTAATTATGTCATTTCCCATGTGCCATTTTGGTTTTACGTTCTACTGTATGTTTCTGAACCCAACAACGATTCTTCAATTGAGTGTATACCCCTTGTCATTCCACAGAGTATCCTTTCTCTGTTTAAACAGTTACACACGAGAAGATCGACACATGAATATGGATACAACTCAAACAAAGAATTTTATTGAAAAGGTCTATTGCGTATCCTTACCTCACAGATTCTGGGTATCAGTCCAGGGGCTTCCTACAATAAATGATATCATTACAGATTTAGTATTACTCTTGGCTTAATCTCATCTATATTTAAAAACATTTAGTTCTGAGTCGATCACATACCTGCATTCCCATCATACTGTATGATTTGCCAGCACCAGTCTGCCCATAAGCAAAGATGCAGGCATTATATCCTTCGAAGGCCGATTCCAGTACATCGGAGCCTAAATCATTAAATACCTGTGTGACAAAAAAAACTGCGTATAAAAAAGAGGTTGACATCTTCCTCCCCTGAAAACATCAATATTCTCTTGCAAGTGTTTTAGTTTGAAATATAGACTTGTATTTTAACATCTTTTAAATAAACTAGTCAATGCTTCTTGCTTTTTGATTACATTCAATTCTAAACAAATGAAAATATTATGGTAGTACTTTAAATAATTTATTTAAAATACAGCTCATATTGCAAACAATGTTCTTCAACACACTTCTGTGATTTTTTCATGATTTCATCTTCTTCATTAACAGAAGTGAACAGTTTTGACCAAATAGATTTGCACAAATTCCAAGGTATATATAATCAGAATCATTATTCCTAATTCGTACGCGAAATAAAATGAAAATTTGATAAATATGGCTGCAACAAATCCTGTTTGGCAGTAATTCAAATTCAAAAACCCTTGAATTTCTATTAAGACTAAGAAATACACATTCTACATTATTTTTCAAAAAATTCTTAACTAAACACAGATACATATATAGAATAAGTATAACAAATATATTTCTATCAGAAAAACAAACAAGTAAAAAAGATAGAAAATGAGTTTGTGTGTGTATTGTTAAAGATAAAAAGGAAAGATGACAAGAATGACAACCAAAAATAGATGTTATTGTACAAGTACATTACAATAGCCCTAATACAATAACAAACAAGAACCAGAATATACAATCTCAATGATCAAAATACTCTCATAACAATTGAGTACACAAATACAAAAAATAAAGTCTTTGTTAATAATAAAATAGAAAATACAAATGCATTATTTGCTTGTGAACATTGCATGGTAGAATCGTTCATGTTTAAATAATTACAAATGAGTATAAGCTGTATATTAGTACACCTTGTGCACCTGCRCGTTTCTGTTCAGCACAATGCTAAATCAAAACTTCTTTCTAGACATCTTAAAGCTGAAGGTTTTGGCTTAAAACCAAGTCAAAATTATATCATTTCCCTTTTAATTCATTTTTCAATTTTCTGTGATAAAATAATATGATTACAAAGATGAGACTGAGTTTATTTTGAAACCATTCTACGCGGTTGTATATTGCATATCTATATTTTCCATCTATTGACTGACTGAGCAAACGACATATGATATCAGCAAAAAGGAATACTCTTGAATACTGATGAACAATACAACTATTAGGTTTGGCAGGAAGAAAAATGGAATCTATAAACCATTTTTAGAACAATATCATTTGTCTGGCTTTTGGAATGAAAAATTAGGACTGAATTTTTTTACGACAAAATGATTCAAATATACAATAACTCTATTATGCATAAAATGCTGAACAGATCTCCCAGCTAGCAAAACATTAAAAAAATAATCATAATTAAAACATGAAAAATATTATGTATAATTTTCAGCTGAAAATATCTGTTCTATTATTGCATAACCAATGAAGGTTCTTACAAAAGATAGAAGGTTGCTCAAATTAATGAGCATTTAGTTAAAATAAGGAAAAATATTAGAATAGAAAAATAGATTAATCACGCTTGGCAAAATAATGAATTTGTTGATCAATCAATTTCCAAAAATGCAATTTCTATAATCAATCTAATTGATACCAATTGTAACCAAAAAGCATTTTTTGAAAAGAGAATAAATATTGTAATAATGGAAAAATGGGACACACTTACAGCCAATTTCAGCTAATTTCTCCAAGATTTTGGATAATCTAATTGAAATTTAAATTATTTTGATGATTGCTGAAAAGATCGATCTTTTTGATAATAAATAACGAAAATACCCTCTTAGAGTTCAACTATCAAATATTCATATCTTGGGAAATAGATTTTACTCAACCAAGAAATATTATCATGATTTATAAAGTCAAAAGCAAACATACTTGTTTGAAAAGACTTAGCTGGGTTGTATATTGAGAAATATGAACTAGATTGACTAAGACAAGTGTTCTGCACGTACAAATGATGAAGCACAGCTGAGTTTTGTAATGAGGATATAACTAGAAATATTTCTGCATGATTGGTAAAAAAAAACACACAGTAAAATGCGCTGCACTATAAAGACTTTTATCCAACCAATTTGGCAATATCTTGTGGCATTATTCTAGACGTCCAGTTGCAAGCGAAACATGATCTCAGCTCGCTTGTGAACCCAGCTAACACGAAACCTTGATGAACATATATACCCGGCATGTTATTATTGTTTACATTTTAAAGGAATATTTGATTGTCGAAAAAAGGATTAGAAAACATCAAGCAATGAGGCGAATCCCTTAAAATTCCAGTTCGGTTTTTTAATTAGGACCCTTGTTAATAAATCAAAAACGTTTTTGGTTTCCTAGAGGATAATTATTTGATTCATATTGACTAAGAATGATCGCTAGAGGACGTGTACTTTAATTTTCGATCGATGACGTTTGGCTTGCTTCCTCTACGCGAGGGAGGAAAAAAATCATCGAGCGACCAAGCGACAATTCCTTCCCAAAGCGAGCTTAATATTCATTCAGAATGCTCAAAAAAGGCTTTTTTCTGAATATTTTACCTGATCTTGTGAAGCAAAATGCTTGTCTGAGCTGTCGGCTGACCAATATGAATAATCAAATGTGAAATCCTTCTTGTCCTCGCCTGCATTTGATCCAGGTGCCTGGAGAAAAATCATAGGTCTTAACACGGCAATGATTTACTCATTGATCCATATTCTTTCTTCGTGTACTTACGTGGAAATTAGTGATTACAGTTTTCTTGTCTTCCATGTAGATGCAAGTCTTCGCGTTCAYGTCTCGTTCCCTGTGAATAAGTAGTCATTATTCGCTGCTAAAATTTCACGCTTTTTATTACCACAACGGAATTAATACTTCACCTACCTCTTATTGAGGGGCCTAACACGGACTGCAACTTTAACAGAAGCCATAATGTGGCCTTTTTTTCAGAGTAAACTATGGTTTTTTGCGAGTCATTCCTTCACCTTCTTCAAACCTTCCATTGATTTTTACCTTTGGACCACCTACGCATGCGTAGTGAACGTCAGGTGGATTTGGACTAGAACCAGTCTCGCTCTACTACTGCGCACATTTTCACTTTCACATTTTTCGAAATCTACTTCCATTCTTCCTCTAAAAGAGAAAAATTCCAAATCATTGAATCGGGTTCGTATTCAAAAGCATGCAATTACTTCAGCTCTGTCCTGAATTTATGTTTTTTATCTTTTTTTAATGTCTCATTTTTATCAAAAAGCGGGCAATTTTTGATAACTTTTGGCGCGCGTAAGTAAAGCAGCTTATCAGTAGTTGCTCGAGTCAYCTTTCAATGGCATGTATGTCTTAGAGGTCAACCTAAAAATAAAGGAAGATTGGTCTGACCCGGGTTTTAAGCCTTGCTAAATTGAATACATTAGTAAATAGGTGCGGAAAGATCGGCCAAGTAATCGTACCTATCTCACCTTTCTGAGCCTTTCTGTGAAAGCCATTGTTTTTTTTAGCAGCATTGCATTTTAGAAGGGAGGAGAGTGGATAAATGTAGGCCATCGTTGTTTGGTGGGGAAGGGACGTGGGAATTTTTGACCTTGGATCGGAAAGTCACCAAAAACGCTGAAAATGAATAATTAAAATCGTGGTTTTGACAGGGTATTATGCAATCGAAACTACAAACCGGGGAAGGGTTTGAACAAGTTTACTTTCATTTCGGTAAAACCTTTGATATCCTTGAAAAAAGTTCACTTTTGGGCTCTGATTTCCATTTAAGTGTAGGCTATCCACATCTCCTATGATTATTGCCAGTTTTTTTACAAGTAATGGTCACGCCTCTCCCTGCTCTCCTGGGCGCGCTCAGCAGGCAACCAGTTGCCATTATAATCTCCAATCGGTATAATACTGAAGTATTAACGAGAGTATTATAAACAAGAGACTAGATCTGAGTCATCAATCCATCCCACAGACTAAACATCCTTTGTTCAGTTTGAAGGTCTTTCAAGTAAATGTATTATGTTAATTGCTTTACCAAAACGTTATTTTTCCGGAAAAAATTAAATAACTTAATTGACCATTTGTTTTTTTTTTCTGTCTTTGTTCGTATTTCATATTAGTTCAAGTAGTTTGGGGTGATAAGGAAGAGAAAATAGAACGCAAACGTGTTACATAATCTCGATCAGTGCTAAACTGACAGTGAAATAACTTGATTTCGTATCTCCATCTACCATAGTCTGTTGGTATCACAGGCACTTTATGTGCTAAAAACAGAGAAATAAGAAACCAAAAGTCACTACGCCCCATATCTATTCCTGATGAACCTTAATACTTTAAATCAAAGAGAAGCATTTATGATTGAGTGTTGAGTTTCTCGTCTGGAATATTTATGAATTTTGCGTGATGCCAAAGTCACGGAATGGTGGCTCGCGCATAGAGGTATGAACAGGAAACGCTATTATAGTTGAACCTTAACTTTTCGAGAAGGTCTATTATTAGTCGTACTTTTGTTTAACCACATGGCCCAAAATGGTAATGGCGTGATTCGTAGCTCGTCACGAAGGAGGGATTTTTAATTGGCTTCGTTCATTACATTCACCATTTTTCAACTCTACAAAAATGCCTACCCTTGAAACGACGAAAATAAGTCCAATGAAAAAACACATTGTTGACTAAACAGTCTTGATAATAATAAATACTTATAGAGGAGAAAAAAGAATGGAAGAGGATGGGAAATAGAAAAGAAGGAGGGGAGTTTTTTTGCCGGCTCACCTGTGAATAAATCACGTGACAGTAAGGTAGCCTCGTTCGCGAGCTGTTCCAATACTCTTTACCTGTTGGATTTATTGACATCAAACTCGACTTTTTCCTCGAATTTCCATCAAAAATGACTAATTAATGGAATTCCTGGAGTTGGATTGTCTCAGGATATCATTAAGCAAGGCTAATATTATTGCTTTTAGTGACATGGCTGTCTTAGATGACCGTTATACTCAAGCAAAGTCCATCGAGTGTTTGGAGCTTATCAAAGTCAAGTCTTCTTCAAATTAAGACTCTCTTCGATTCTTCAGCATTTTTTACTGTTTTTGTCTAAATCCAAAGAACCATGGCTTCTGTTAAAGTTGCTGTAAGAGTCAGGCCTCTAAATAAAAGGTAAGAAAACGATTAATGCCTCGACATGTTATTCTTTGTGTCGTTGTCGAAGTGAAAGTCGAGGTGTTGGAAGAAAGTTACTTTTGAGGAGAAAATAAATCAGTTAATTTGTTTATCTTGTAAAATAGAGAACTGGATATGGAAGCAAGGACTATTATCGAGATGGAGGGCAAAAAGACACGGATTTATAATCTAAAGGTAAGAAAATACAGCCTTTATGCCTTGAGCTAGTAATGCAGAACCATTTACAGTATATTCTGGAACCTCCATCTTATATAAACACAGAAAGATTGTATCAATAATCGTCATAATTAAGACTAGTTTTAAATCTTGTTGTATTGTTTACAGGCTACTACAGGAGAGGGAGAACGAAAACAGCAAGTCAAGGATTTCTCGTTTGATTATTCATACTGGTCTGCAGATTCTAATTCCAGTCATTTTGTAACGCAACAACAAGTAAGGAACGAAGACAACCTATTGTTTGTGATATTATTGTTTTGTTATTGCGTACTAGATAATGGTGAAAAAACATGCTTGATTTACCTACGAAAGATTTTTGATTTCACTTTCACTTTAGAATACTTTATATTCTAATGTTAATTTAAATTCATGTTTGTGTAGCTATAGGGCTGTTGAACTCCTTTTCAAAAATGTAACACCCTAGCTTGGATTATAATATATTTACAGGGTATTAATGAGCTAAAAATTGTGCTGGAAGGCATTACATTCCTGGATTATATTGGAAGCATAAAGCGTGTTGCAATTATATAAAAAAACCCCGGTGTTATGGCAAAATTCTTGAGTGTTTAGAGTGAGTTGCAATGTCTTTCGATACGTGACTCGAAAAAGAATGAATAATTTTTGAATATATAATGCAACATTGCGATCCATGTTTAGATGTGAGTATTAGATAAAATATTGAATATTCTAGTTTCAGATCTGTTGTAGCTGGTGATTAGTTGTATTAACGTAAAGTTTGGAATTCTATCCAGATTGTCTTATGTACATCATAAATGAGAAGAATTCTTGGATGTAGATGTAAAAAATGAGGAATGCATAAAACCTCAATATAAATAGAGATTAGCATCATAATTTGTTTTGATTTTGTTCATTGAACACATGCAAATTAGTCATTTGACTGGGATTTGACGGGAAGAATGAGATTAAAAAAACCCCAAAATATACCATCTGCTGTAATAGACAAAAAATAATTAAAGTGACAAAAATACAATACTTCCTGTTGCAAGAAACTTATTTTTGACACATTTTGTTTACTAATATCGTCTGGTGCAAGCTTTCTGCTGACATATATAGTCTGGTTCAAGCTTTCTGTCATTTCAAGAATAAGGATAATAATAATATAGAAAAACTATATTTAACTACGCAATGAGGAAATTGCATGTTGTAGGCATTCTTTGGCTTACATTTTTAAATTTTTATAGCTAATTTTATTAAGCTAAATATATTTAAGAATAACCATAAGGGGTTTATATTTGTTGATTAATATTGGTACGTTGAAGACCTGTCAATTGTGTTTGTGGGGGGAGGGGTGTGGAAAGGTTTGCAATGTGTTATAGGAACCTCACTATTAGGTTATAAATTTATTTCAAAAAAACAAAACTATTTGCATTCTTGGGTTAAGTTGGGATTGCAGTGCATTGTGGGACTCTTAGGGGACATAATTTAAAGATACATTCTTTTTCACTTAAAACATTTATACAGTGCACTGCAATGCCAACTTGACCCACTTATTCCTCAACCTTGAAATGGCTTATTCTGGAGTGAATAAGATACTGGCATATGCATGGATAAGGTCCAGGAAATATTTTCCCACCATTGGAGGAGGGGAGGGGAGGGAGGGAGGGATAGATATTTATCTAAAGACACACAAAGGTATCTTGTCAGCACTGCACTATATTTAAAAGAGAGTTTCTGTTAAAGCATGGAGTGTACATGATCATGATGAAATGAATAATTAAATATATGTGGTATATTGTCATCTAGGTGTACAATGACCTTGGTACGGACGTCGTCAAGTCAGCATTTGAAGGTTACAACAGCTGTATATTTGCATACGGTCAGACTGGTTCAGGAAAGACGTACACCATGATGGGACATGGAGGAGATGATGGGCTGATACCACGGATCTGTGAGAAAATGTTCAAACAGATGAAGAAAAACTCAGATGTTGATTCAGGTGTTTCCTTCAGGACTGAAGTCAGTTTCCTGGAGATTTACCAGGAAAAAGTGCGAGACTTGCTTCGACCACCTGTCAAAAATCGTCCTGTTCACTCACTGCGGGTCCGAGAACACCCAAAAGAGGGTCCTTATGTACAAGGTAGGATACCATTAAAATGCAGTTGCCATGACAATGATGTCATTCAAAGATAAAGTAAGTCATTGTTTGATGGCGATACATAGATTCCCCATGATCCCTTGAAACAAGAATATGTTTAACGAAGAAAAAGTGATTGCTCCTCACTTCAGTACCTGGAAAATTGTTGTGTTACTCATTAAAAGATCAGTGCATATTTAGCAATCTGTGATTAATATTATTTATTATTTTACAGACCTCACAAAGCACTTGGTGTCTGACTTTGGTGCTATAGAGCACCTAATGCAGCAGGGAAACTCCCACAGGTATAATAATATAAATACTGGCTATATATGCTGGTCTTATTATCTTATCTTAACTTCTCAGGCACATACAGGGATGTTAGCTTGGAAGAGATCCATGGCTACAGAATAACCCCCTTTGACATCAGACTACAATGTTTCCAAATGAAAAAAAAAWTTTTTTTGGAATCCCTCTTAGGCAAAATCAGGCATTTGTGGCTGTTCTTTCGCGATAATAATAATAATAATAATAATAATAATAATAATAAATTCTTATATAGCACACTAAGCTGTACAATAGAAGAATTATTGATAATAATGATCGTGACTAGCTAAGTTTATGATACAGGCATGCCCCAACATTTAAACAAAGATTGATTTAATGTTACTAATTGACTAAATCAGAACTGTATTGTACTATTGTGTATAGAGTGACTGCTAGTACTGGTATGAATGACGTCAGTAGCCGATCTCATGCTATCTTCACCATGAACTTTACTCAGGTAAGTAGTATACATGGCAGTCATTGTTTTCTAGAATTTCGATTGTTGTGATGACACAAATTTACATTACTCTATTTTTTCTAGAGCTTTATTCAAAATATATACTTATTTCTTTAAATTGATTGCAGGCCAAGTTTGATATGGATATGCCATGCGAAACTACAAGCAAAATGAACCTGGTGGATCTGGCAGGAAGGTAACAAACAAACTAACAGATTTAGATATGCATTCACTTGTTATTTCCCTTTTCAAAGGGTATGTTTATGCTTATTGTTCTGGGTGTTGTGTTGCAGTGAAAGAGCAGATGCCACAGGGTTGACAGGGGAGAGACTGAAGGAAGGGGCCAACATCAACAAGTCTTTAGTTACACTTGGAACAGTTATCTCTGCTTTGGGTAAGGCTAGCTTTCCTTCTCATCCAACTATTTATTTGTCTTTCCTTCCATCCATCCGTACGTCCATCCATGCATTCATCCATCCCATCCATCCATCCATTTATCCAATTTATTTTTCTCTGTTTTTATGTTTTGTTCAATAAATAAATCTTAGTAACCTTGCTTCCCATCTCACCTATTTCGTCGTAATACTACCTCAAATGTAACACTCGGTATATATCTTATTCCCTTGTAGCTGATGCTTCTACTGCACATGGTGGACATCACAAGTTTGTTCCATACAGAGACTCAGTACTAACCTGGTTACTGAAGGACAGTCTTGGAGGCAACTCAAAAACTGTCATGATTGCTAGTAAGTACTATATAGCCCATTCATCTACCCATTCATTTATGGCTGGTGTCAACCATCTTCAGTGCCCGTGCCCCATCTACAGGGCTCACAGTAACTGGCTGTGCTGTTGTGGTGACCCTGCCCTCATGGGGAAAAATCATAAATTGGCCAACTTTTTTATGGAGCCTTGACTTCTTTCTTTGTCCTTGTGTATTTTGCCTAAGGTATATTTTAAATTAAAGTTTAAAGATAAGTAAATTGTTAATGTTTGGTGCGTTTTTGCAGCCATTTCTCCTGCTGATGTCAATTATGCAGAGACAATGAGTACACTGAGATATGCAAACAGAGCCAAGAATATCATCAACAAACCAACTATTAACGAGGTATGGTTGTACTGATTATTATTGTCATCAAGATAGTATTACCACCATCATGAGCAGCAGCAGTATTATCATCTTGAACATTGTCATTTTCATGATCATGATCATCAACATCATTATCATCAATCAACAATAACATGATCATCGTCCATCATCAACATCATCATCACCATCATCAACATCATCAACATCATCAACATCATCAACATCATCAACATCATCATCACCATCATCACCATCATCACCATCATCATCATCATCACCATCATCAACTTCATCATCACTATCATCATCCATTTTGATTTTGAAATTGGAATAATGTTTTGAAAACTGTTTGTCTTTTCCCAGGATGCCAATGTGAAGTTGATAAGAGAATTAAGAAGTCAAATAGAAAAACTCAAGGCCATGATCAGCCCAGTGAGTACATTTTACTCTGCATCTTATCCTTTAAATAAGCTTAAAACCAGTTGATGATATTATATTCGCAGGATCTTCTTGGTGAAGGAGAGCTGGCTGCGGCTAAAAAACTGTCAGAAAATGAAGCAAGGGTGATGCAACTGACTGATAAGTGGAAGGATAGATGGAAGGAAACACAGAAGATTCTAGAGGTATCCCATTTCATTTCCACTCCTTAGTCCCATTCATTTCTCAGTATTTGAGGTGAATTACATTCAACCTATAAACATGGCTTCCATACTGAAGCAATTTGATTGGATGATGCACGTATTCCTGTTTTCTGATTCTCAAAGGTGACATCACCTTTCGTACAACTGTCCATAGAACGTCGTACGCGGAATGTACACTGGAACACGGTGCGATATCAATAATATAACAGTGCGCACTAACCGTCCAATCAGAGTCAAAGTTGTCGCGTTCATGATACAGCACGCGTGCCGTTAGTTTTACGCAATTTTATGAGATAACTGTTATAAATCTCGCTTTGTGATTGGTTTGGAGCGCGTGCTTTATGAGAGCACACAGCACGCGTGCGCATTTTCCGTGGCGTAATTCCTAACCAAAATAGCGGTTATTGTAAATTGTATTTTATAAAAGAAATAAAAAACTTGCTTGCTGTGTGCAGTTATAAAGCACTTGGGGATTGACAGAACACTCAAGAAATGTCGAGAAGCAATCCGCTACGTGTCGTGCTTCTCCTAACACTTCTCTCGCGTTCTGCCAACCCCCGCGTACTTTATAACTGAACACAGCACGCGCGCGAGTTTTTCTGTTTCTTCAATATGAACCTACGCTGTGCAAATTTGAAGATATTTATTCTATTTGGGTTTTTCCGTAGGAGAGAGAAATGAGGCTGCAACAAGAGGGTGTTGGGATCAAGATGGATTCAGTCCTGCCTCATTTGGTGCTGGTAGACGATGATCTGCTCAGCACAGGGATTGTCGTTTACCATCTCAAGGTATGACTCAACCTGCCTGCAAAAAATACAACCGTTCTTTTTAACCAGAACTTGTACGGTGAGCACAACGCATAGTAGCTCTTAAAGGGAAAGATTGTCACGTGAAATCACACGCTGGGTACCCCGTCAAAGTGAAAGATTGTCACCGAATATCATTCCCTGGGTACCCGTCAAATTGAAAGCTCGTCACGCAAAAGCATTCGCTGAGTCCGCTATAGTAAGAAATGTTACTCAAAACTCATACGCTTGGTACCCTTCTAAGTAAAAATCTCCACGAAGTGATACAGAATTTTTCTGTAGGTACGTAAACAATAAAAAAGCGTCACTTTATCCTTATACAAAAGTACGCTGTCGGCATCTCCTTTAAAATTATGGTAGTCTTGGTCACGCTCAGTGTCATTACGTAATTGTGTTTATAATGGTGTTCATGGGAACCAGCATGACGATAGTACAGCCTTTGAATGATGAAAATAGAGAGAAAGAAACAAGAAAAATAGCAGACGTGGTCAAGGATTCTATTGATGTTATTATTGTGAATGAAGAGTACATAACAAGCATTCCTGGTATTATTACGCTACAATGAGCCGGAAAAATGAATCAACATACGTTTGAATCGGCTATTTGTTTAGGAACAATGACACAAGCATATATTACGAAGACTACACCAAACATTAACATTTACTGTAGCCGATTTGGCAATCTCTTTGCATACATAAACAGCAAAGAGATTTTTGCTTAGCTTCTAAAACCCTGATCAAAACTTTAGAAAGTCTTTTAAGTTTTAGATTATTTTAACAGTATTTCAAGTTGTATAGTTTTATTTTTAATGTTTTATTGCCGTTTTTTTGGGATGGAGTTGGAAGAGTTTGCAAAGTTTCTCGCTCCGTACCTCAAGGTTAAACACTCATGACATGACGAACGTTCTTCTATGCTTATTGCTTCTTGTTTAAGTAAATATATTCGCTAACTTTACATTATTTCTGTTGACAGGAAGGGAAAACCTCTGCAGGACATGCGGATGATCGCAAGAAACCAGATATAGGTATAAAATACTTGAATATATTGGATATACTATAAATGTAATTGAAGCACTTTACCGAGAAATGATGTACAACATAAACTAATTATTACAATACCTTACTAAGAATATAACACCAATAGACTTTATACTTAGATATCACGAAGATATTATTATCGTAATGCTGTTGTATAAGTATTATTTGCTCTGGTTTATTTTTATGACGGTCATTTATTATTAATGTTGTAGTATTTAGTATTCAGAGTTTGATGTGCAAGAACTGCATACTTCATTAATTTTTCATAGATTATTATTATCACCTCTGAATTTCTGATTAACACAATTGCCAGTAATTAGCCAAGAGAATCGCTAAGTTTTCATTCATTTATTCTGGCATTGAAATCCTGTCAAAACGCATTGAAGTTTGTTTAGCAATTAACTTGCTACAGTCAATGTTTTTCATTGGTTTTGACAATCGACGTAGAAAACGTAGAGAGAGAAAAAAAAAAAGAATACATATTTATTGTATTTCCAATAGTTTATTCTTGTTCTTTATTGTTGTTGCTTATCTAGTGATCAGTGGGCCTGAGACAAATATCGAACACTGTATATTTGAACACAACTCTAAAGATAAGGTTATGCTCAACCCGCTTGACTCGATGTGTTTCATCAATAACAGCCGTGTATCTAAACCAACAAGACTGTTTCAAGGTAACAGATTGTACGCCTACCAAATACAGGATGCATTAAGGAGAGCGCGCTAGTTGCGATTGTCGTGATGACAGGGGTTTTGAAGAAAGGTAGAGCGCAGAATATTTCCTACGACGATCGCGCACAATTCCAGAGGTGGTTATCCATTGGAAACGTTAGCGCGCAGAACTGCGTTGAGCAGGTGAAGCGATGAGCGCACTCTTCGTGTCGTTTCAATCTTGTTGCGCGATGTAATGGCCACAGATTTGGCAGTGAAAACTGTTACATGTCACCCTCAAATCTGTCGCTGAAGTTGCTAGCTGTACTTTTCGGTACGATTTGCGGCAAAGCTCTAACACAGTTACGAGTCAAATCAAATGGATTTATTATTTCCCTGTTTTGTCCTGCTTAGCCGTCTTCTCAAGGCTAAGACTGATGTGATTGATTGCAGGTGACGTCATAATTCTTGGACAAACCAACGTGTTTAGGTTCAATCATCCTAGAGAGGCTGCGCAACTGAGAGAAAAGAGAAAGGTAAGAAGACTACATTTGTCATCATTGACGATGATTATTGAAGGATTTTCCATCTTACCGTCTTGACATAGACCCTATATGATGAAATAATTGCAACTGTTAAAGATACTATTAATTAAAATTCGCACAGAAGAATTTAAAGTTTAAACTTTTTTAGTTCTAAATGTCTAAAAAAACTTTGAATGAACTCTACAAAGATTTAAAACTAGATGTTTGACTGAAGACTATCTACTGTATTACGATCTACGTACGTACTCTTATCTCTTTTCTCGCTCTTCATTGATGAAGGTAGATTTCATGTGAATGGGAAACGTTCCGGTCTGTGTTTTGATTGGTTGATGTCTGTGTGAGTGCCTTGTGATTGGTTCAAAGATGAAGCCATTTGAGGGTCAAGGTACCATGAATGGCTTCCGTGTGGTATGGCGGTTTTTGTAGTCTTGCCTTGTGATTGGTTCAGAGAGCGAAAAGCCATTTGAGTGTCAAATTGTTATACGTTTCCACATCATACGAAATCTATCATCAACTAACGATTTAACTCATCATCCAATCCTCTCGTATGTTGTAGCAAATGTCGCAGAATGTTCGTATTGCACGTTGTACAATCGAAGAAATTCTTGAACACGACTGAGACAAGAAACATTTCCCCCACTAACATCCAACTAACAATAATTGTTGTGCCTTTCTTTCTAATCCATCGTCTAATTGATGCTAATATTATCATGGTTCGCCCTCTTTATTGGTGTGATTACAGTCGGTAAGTTGTAACCATATTTGATGCTAATAAATATTAATCAATCTAATTATACATGCGCAACCTTCTGACGGGAACCCTGTGTGCCTTGTGCTCCGCGTAGTCCTGATTTTATTGTTCAGTTTGAATCCCATTTAAATGTATAGTGAGTTGATAACGATAAAGCAGCCTTTAAAACATAAAAGATTTAACATACGATTCTTGTTACTTGAGTCCGCGTTCCTTCTGGTCTCCGCGCAAGAAACAATAAACACTGGGCGATTATATTAAAATCCGGATGCAACGCAGGCCATGGGCGATCAATCAAACTGCTGTCGGATTTTGATTGGCTATTGCAGAAATGAATGATTATGAAAAACGATCAAACCAGAAAAACTGGTTTTCTTTATTTTTCACTTTTTCGATTTTTTACTCGCTGACCAAAAGGAGTGCAGGCGCAGGGTAAAGTAATAAAGGTCTAAACAAACATAAAATATAAATGTAAAATTGACTACTGTGCCAGTAACAAGATTGAGCTTAAGGCGCGATTACACGTTGCTAGACGAGTTGCTCCGTGTAATAGTGCCTTTGGTTAAGATTTTTTTCTAACGAATTTGTCGTCTACAGTCTTCGATCAGTGGACTTGCGTGGTCAACCAAGTTCCGTAGTGAGACAGACCTGTTCAGATCAACAGGGTAAGAAATGTAATATCTAGACAACCGGGTTACTTGTGTTATGAAGGGAGGAAAGGAAAGGAGACTAAGGCGTTGATGAAAAGATCAAGAGATGATTCGCATGGGGGTTAGGGGGTATTTGCGTTGTTTATTTCCAGTCCTTTTCTTTTACATTTTACCACAGGGTAACCATTATAAGGTTTTTTTATCCTAACAATTTCTGTTGTTTTCTAGTGAAAAGCCTCTGTCCGTGGAGCTAGAGAAGGCCAAGTAAGTCCAGTAATAGTATACCCTGTAGTATACCCTGGATGTACCAGACCTCTTCTGTCTCCTCCAGTATTCGAAGAGCGGGAGACTGGATACCAGTTGCTTTTCCTCGCGTTAGTAAAAATCTTAGAGCTAGAAGCACTGGAGTGCGGAAGGTTTTGGAACCCAGGATATAGACGGCACCACTATATTAAGTTTAAACTATTATAATATTATTAGTTAAACTATTATTTGGTTACCATAGGTACGAACTGGAGCAGCAAAAACAGATGGAAGGTCAAAAACTGGAAGAAATGAGGTATGAACTACCCTCCCCTCCCCTACCGCTACATTTCCTCCCGCCTCCCTTATTTAAGTTGTTGTTTAATCCTTACAGGACTGAGTTCGAAAAGCAAATCCAAGACGAGGGAGTTCGACTAGAAGAAATGAGGTAAGTCAGTATAACGTTGTATTGGGATACCTGTGGTTTTTATTCTCATCAGTAACCTACATATTGCTGTAGAGCCGAGCTGGAACGACAAAGAAAACTGCATTCAATGGAAGCGCAGAACGTCGAGGAAGCAAGGTAATTATCTTAATTAGAGTATTCTATGGCTGGAGATGGTCTCTTTTAGAAGGACAATTCGCTTAGGGTCGGTTAGGAAGGTGGTCGCTTAAGAAAGTGGTCCTCACGATACTTTTTCATTTTCAGGAAACGAGTGTCTGACATGGAGAAAAAACACGAAACAGCGGAACGCGATAGAACGAAGCGTGAAAAAGAACTGACAGAAGAGATCGAGAAAAGAGACACGGACATCAAAACAGTACGTGAACAACTCGTGAAGCTGCGTAACGAAAGTGAGCAGGCAAAACAACAAGCAGACGACGTGTTAGGTGCTTTGAAAGATAAAATACGAAAACAGAAAGAAGAAGAAATGGTGCAGTTAAACCAGGATGTCAAGAGGATCGTCGAGCTTGAGGCAGAAATGAATGGGATGCAAGAACAGGTTGAAAAGGAACGAAAAGAGATGAGAGAAAAATGGGAAATTGAATCTCGTAGTATCAAAGAACATAAAGAAATCCTGATGAACACTAAGAAAGATTACGAACAGAAATTTAATTCGTTGGAGGAATCAAAACAAGAAACGAAGCACGAGAAGGAGAAGTTCGAAAAAGAGAAGCGAGAAGCTTTGATTAAAATCCGCGAGACCGAACGTAACCTAGAAGTGCTCATAATACGACGAGAGAATGCTTTAGCTATAGCAGAGAATGATATGTTGAAGAGAAGAGAAGTGGTAGAAATGGAAATGGCAGAGAATCGAGCTGAACTGGAAGAGGAAAGAAGGAAACTTGTCGATAAGATGGAGGAACATGAAGTAATGTTGGACCACGCGGCAGATAAACTCGCTAACGCACAAAATACACTAGAAACTAAAACAAGAGAAGAAAACAAAAAGATCGATGCTGCTAAGAAACGTTTTGATGAACTTCAGCAAAGTTTAGCCCATTCGGCGAAGAAAGCAGAGGAGGATTTACGAGAAAAGCGGCGCAAGTACGACGAGGTTTCCGAAAAACGTCAACAGACGATTGATAAAGAAAGGAAAGCACTTGATTCCTTGCGAGGAGAATTGTCTGTCATGGTAGAAGAACTGAGCGAATCTACGGGTAATGACAGAAAAGAGTTAGAAAAACAAATCCAAAGTAAACAATCAAGATTAGACCAGCAACAGGTACAGTTAGATGTGTTAGAAGCAGAAGACAAAAACATCTCAGAGGATATCGAGAAGGAGTTTGAAGAAGAGCTTGAGCGTATACAAGCGAAGGCACGACAAGACCAAACAGCTATGGAACTAGAACGACTAAGCTTAGAAGAACTACAAGACGCCAAGAATATCAAACTACAAAAAGAGGAAAGAGAACTTAAAGACGCGCAAAAGGAATATAACGAGATGAAGATGATGTTGAATAACAATAGAAAGCAATTGGCCGATGTAGAAGTGAGGTCAGACAGAGCAGCTTCGCTTGGTGAGCAGCGTTTATTAGAAATATCTAAAGCACTAGAGGAAAAACTCACAGGTACTACACAACATGATGAAGTGTACAAGCTACGAGAACGTCGAATACATCTGAAGGAAATAGATGTCGAAGGAAAGGTAGAACTTGCCGAGAAGCAAGAAAAGATAAGCAACGATGCCGATAATATTAATGGAGACATAAAAAGACTGAGTTATGAGTTAGAAGAGAAGGGCAAAGCTAAAGAGAAGTTAGAAACAGAGTTGAAGGAATTGATAGCAAAGTTTTCGCGTGAAAGAAATGAAGAAAGCGCTACTCTCGATGCAATGAAAGAAAACATTCAGGATATGGAAGAAGAGGCGAACCTATCGAGGAGTTTGACTGAAAACCAGATAGTATGTGGCATCGTCAAAACCGGTGATGTGGCGGTCGAGCAACTCCTTCAGAAAGAGAGAGACAGGTGAGTACTGAATGCGCCTAGTTTTTACCCCGTGAGTGAAACCTCCCATTCTAACAGTGTTGAAGGCCTATGGGTGACGTCACGTGGAATCACGTGGGTTCGATTCCTGGCTGTGCCAAATAAGTGAGTTGAGTTCGTTTGATGTGTTGATCTCTCCCATGAGGGGTTTTTCTCCGGTTTTCTTCCCTCCGTAAAAGTCAACGTCAACTTTGTGCCCCTACTTCGAAGATAACCAATACTGTTTTTCCCATTGATTCTAAGGGGTGCACCCCTCCCTGGGTTAAATTTGTGCGCAGCACCCCTCCCTGAACAAAATCCTGGATCCGCCACTGAATAAAGAATGTAAGTGGTAAAAAAAGAATGTAGTGGAGTGAACCTTACGGACGGGTCCCTACAGGGAATGATGGTTGTAAGCAAGATATAAATAAATATAAATGTATCCGTTATAATATTTAGGGTCAAAGCTGAAATGGAAAGTAAAATAAAGGAATTGGAAAAAAGACAGAAACAAGAAATGGAAGAATATAAACAGCACCAAAGAAACGCGTTAGAGAAACTCGAGCATGAAAGAATAGAGCTGGAAAAACAAAAAGAGGAACTAGAAAAAGAGATGCGGAAAGAAAAGATAGCACTTAACGAGGAGAGAAGAATGCTGGAGCGAGATAAGTTTGAGGACATTGATTTGATTATTAAAAATAAAGAGGAAGAGATTGAAGATTTGAAAGAAAAGGCACAACAAGAGATAGATGAGCTGAGAGATCGACTCGACGAGACGGAAAGGTAATTATATAAATCAGATAATATCTTAGTTATCAGCAACTACGCCAGGTCAGTAACATAGAGCTTGGTCTTGGCTTATGCCAGGATTTTCCAAAGGGTGCGGGGCCCGAATCAAAAAATCCGCCATTTTGTTTGAGCCCCAAAACTCCAAGAAAGCATGCAAATATTTGGGGAGCGCCTCGCAGGGACCTCTAGTCCGTATGGCTGCGTATCACTAAATGGATTTGTCGTTTATGTTTTAGGGAAGTCTGCCAATTACAAGAAAAGTTGACTATTTATACATCGATGGCTGTAAGTAAACAGATCGATCACTGGTTGGGTGTCTAATAAGAGTGAAAAAATTTGGACATTCCAGGAGTAAGGGAAGATTTTTCCACTCAGTATAACTTTCTTGATTAGAGATGGTGTTGTTGTTGTGGTGGTGTTGTTGTTGTTGTTGTGGTGGTGGTGGTGACGGTAGTGGTAGTAGTGATAATGAAAAATGGTCGGGGTAGTTGCAGTGGTTGACAGTGGTGATGGTAATAGTGTAAGGGTAGGGGAAGTGGTGGTAGTGATAATGATAATGGAAAATGGTATAGGGGTAGTTGCAGTGGTTGATAGTGGGGATGGTAATTGTGTAAGGGTAGGGGTAGTGGTAGTAGTGATAATGGAAAATGGTCGGGGTAGTTGCAGTGGTTGATAGTGATGATGGTGATGGTAATAGTGTAAGGGTAGGGGTAGTGGTGGTAGTGATAATGGAAAATGGTATAGGGGTAGTTGCAGTGGTTGATAGTGGTGATGTTAATAGTGTAAGGGTAGGGCTAGTGGTAGTAGTATTAATGGAAAATGGTCGGGGTAGTTGCAGTGGTTGATAGTGGTGATGGTAATAGTGTAAGGGTAGGGGTAGTGGTAGTAGTGATAATGGAAAATGGTATAGGGGTAGTTGCAGTGGTTGATAGTGGTGATGGTAATAGTGAAAGAAAGAATGATAGAAAGTGGTAGTTTGTTAGCTGATAAATTACCATGTTATATGATTGCCATTCTACAGAGTATGAATGTACCTAATGGTAATGACGATGAGCTGATGGCAGATGGGGAAGTTATGCAATACATGTATCAAGATGAGGTAACCTAGAGACAAAGGAGAAATTATTATTCCTTCACTGTTAGAACTGGATTACAAACAATATACAAATAAACAAAAACAGTTCTTATGACTGAAGTCGCTTGCAAAGCACAGCAGTCTCTTTCTTCTTCTCTACTGTTTTTTAACAGCAATCTAAACCTGGGCCCGGTTGTACAAAGGGTGGATAGCGCTATCCGATGGATAAATCCTTATCAAGTGGATAAGTCGATGTTGTTATCCAGTAGATTTATCCACTGGATGAGATTTATACGTTGGATAGCGCTATCCACTCTTCGTACAAGCGGGCCCTGACATGTTTGTTCACTGTCCTTATTCTTCCCTTCAAAAAGCAGATATAGATCTGACAGTGTCTTGGAACATAATAATAATTTTATATAATATTTTTGATTCCAGAATGAAATATATAGTAGTAACCTAAGCCTAACAGGATCCGTCACACCACCTCGTATCACCCCTCCCCCAACACCTGTCAATAGGTTCCTGACGTCTGTCAACAACATGAGAAATAATCAAATCAATGTACAAATACCGCGCTATATCTTACGAGGACTGGGGCGAGACTCTTATCACGTGTTCGAAGTGAAGGTAATTATGCATGGACAATTCTTTCCGCACCCACCCCTCCCCCGGTCTATTATTGATACCTTGTCTGTTGATGTGTTCAGGTTACTATAGGAGGAGAGACGTGGTCCGTGTACAGGAGATATCGAAAATTTAGAGAATTACACAATACGATGAAAAAGAGTTATCGCGAGGTAAGGTTACATCTTCATTGGTTCTGTAATCCAGGGAAGACCTTATTGGAAGTATTGTTTTAGGAAGAGGAGAAAACAGGTTATTTGTTGAGCCTAGTAGGAGTGAGGAGTGACACCCCCTGCCCATCATGGGAAATCAAGGATCACGCACCAGCATTTATTCTGTACGCTGTCATGATATATATCAGACAAGTAAGAAAAAAAAAACAACAGGGATCCCGCAAACCTCCTTCTCCAAGGTTAAAAACTGAACCAAATTCAATGGCAATGAAGTGCTCATTGAACTTTGGGTAGTGCCCAGCCTCATAGACCGCCCGCGCACCATAACAGTGTGTCCGTCCTTTTTTCACAAATGTACACGTCTGTATTAATAAATCTGTCATATCATGTCACTAAATTACGTGTTGGTATTTTGACAGATTGGAGAACTGGACTTCCCAAATCGACGATTTTTTGGAAATCGGGCTGAAGAGTTTGTACGAGCACGGCGCGCGCAGCTAGAGGTGAGTTGAAAAAAACAAGAACTAATCACAGGCAGCCCAGTTAATCCTGGTACGTTACGTCATTATGAAACTGGGAGTAACAGTATGTAAGACGCATTTTATATCCTCCCCTCCCCCTCATAGTTGATGATATAACGTCCTTTACTTGGATCTCCAGACATACCTCAAGTCCTTCATCAATCTATGTACCGATTTCCGAGACTGTCCTGTGTCAGCATCCTCTGGAAGACCGCTGTCCAAACGTGACTTGTGCAACTTCGCTCCATTTTTTAAACAAGGAATATTCGAACAGACTAAACATTACAGTTGAGTGTATTTTAAGGAATATTTTATGCAATCTTTAAAAATATAAGTGTACATAGAATCACGACATAAATTATTTGCTGCTCGGACAGAATTTAAATGTAACGTTGCGTGACATCACTATGAGTCACGCAAGGTCATAGTTGTAATAATCGTGTGTTTGTAACGCAATATTACTAGCTTGATAACCTATGATGTACAGTGCATATATTTTTATAAAAATTGTGGGAGTTTTGCTTCCTTAATGTACTTACTCTTTTTATAAAAAGAACATGGTATTTTGTCATCGGACACTAACCACTAAAAAAAATGCTCTTTTGCTTTACTCATAGATATATCGAACACCGGCCTAAAAATTAACGAAACAGTTGTATTTTACATAGAGTACATAATAATTCTGCAATTTTACACGAACAAATTGACTAGAATAATAAAAAAATAAAACAATTTCAAATACTTGCGCGCATTATTTGTCGTTTTCTTATACATGCCAATCAAACACTCTGATTGGTTCCTTGTGACCGTTTGCTAATGGTACATACCAAGGAACCAGTTATGCCTCTATTTAATCATTTGGTACGACCCGTTTACATGCAGGGATGAGTCCTTTGTTTTCTTTCTACGAGGGGACACCATAACAAATGGCTTAGCCCTAACAGTAGGGGAAAAATGCCTCTTGTTAGTCACAGATTCGATTCATCCAGCATACCATATCCGCGATAACAAACATCTCTTTCTTATTCTACCACTACTACTTGACTTCAATAATAAAGTAATAAAATAAGACTAACAAATTCATATGACCACCGTGTGGGGAGAAGTGGCTCCAAGCTCCAGGCTACCACAACAACTCGCGTAGACCTGAATTCAAGTGAAGTGATTATCAAAAGGTTATCTCTGTGTTGGTCTCACGAAATGCCAACCGCCTTGAATAAATAATACAAAACTTCCGTTCTATCTCCTGCTATCAATTATTCAGTTCAAATGCCTTGTAAAACTGACTTATTCAAAATCTATTTTATAACGTTTGTTATTTTATTAGACTCTTCTCTAAAGAAAATCTTAAAATATTGATCATCTTAAAGCTTTTAAATACATTTTTCTTTATCTCCGTTTTGCGCTCAGAGTCTAGAGTCTGTCTGGGAAAGATAAGAAAGACCAAACCCTTGTTTTAAAGCTAGCTGCGCGCGGCAAAACACCACTCGAAAATCCTTTCTGCTTTGAATATTATATTAAATGAAATTCAGTTTTGATGTTATTCATAGAGAACCTGTTTACAGCGCGCGGTTTAACGTTTTATTTGTCGAACAGAAACAAATCCAAATGTACAGCTTACGTGTTAGGGTTAAGGACATGGGGCAATCATTTTATTGGTCAGTTTAAGATCACCATCTTAAGCCTGTTGTCTAGATTGGAATGATGTTTGATCCTAAAGACGTCAAAATATCCTACAACTTCCACAAGAACCAATCATATTCGCGTTGTCTGGATATAGATGGACTTCAAGATAAGTTACTCCTAAAAACAAGATCGTTGCGGACCTCCATGTGTTGCTGTAAGTATTAAGGTCTGTCTAGTTGTCTGGTAATTGTAAATTAGAAGCTCTTACCATATAAATCTACTGATGGTATGTGGAGTGTAGATAAGGAGTATACTTAGGCGTGAGAATAGAGCTCTTCAAGCCCCCATCAATCCTGCCATATTTAATAAAAACACCGTCGTTTAGGCTAGTCTTTATCTTATACAGACCATATATAGAAAACAAGTAGCCCGATAGGCTACTTAATAAAACAGCACGACAACTCTGGGATCACAGTGGGGGAAGTCATAAAACTCTATTTCTGATCTCAAATTTTTAGTGTCGTCCCAAGGTAACCAAGTAAAGTGTCGCAGCGTATTGTAACCATCTAAAAGGTCAGTTTATGGACCTTATCCAGACAGTTCTACAGCCATACAAGACTGGTTTGTCGGGACTGTTGCGGCATTTCAAGAATGATATTGATACTCATGAATGATTGATATTTTCTTTTTAAGGTCGAAGGAAGAGTTGGCTTACGAGGGCAACAGTTACCGTAGTGTAAGCTGGGTCTGATTGTATTTTGCTTCGAGTAGACCCCACCAAAGCTACACTAGCTCGCTCTCTAAGATGGATGCCGATAAGATTCTGATAGCTACATTCGAGGTTAAAAACTACAAGCCCAATGAAATATCCCTCAAGGTAGAAGGTGGTAAAATATACGTTGATGGCAAACATTTCTCTGAAGGAGAATATGGAACAGAATCGAGCGAATTCCATCGAACTTACGTCCTACCAGAAAGCGTGGAACCTTCATCTGTCTCCTCGCGCGTCTCTTCAGATGGAGTTCTTTACATAGAAGCTTTTAAAAACCCACCGAAAGAAACTGAAGTTGCTCTAGTCGGTTCTTCTCCAACGTCTGGGGACGTGGCGAAGATAGACGATAAGAAATTCACAGTGACCTTAGATGTAAGTAGTTTCTCACCAGAGGAAGTTGTAGTGAAGGTTTTGAACAATGAACTGACAGTCAGGGCTCGGCATGAATCAGAATCGCATGGTCATTTTACTTCACGACAGTTCAACCGCCATTTCGTCCTTCCTAAGGATGTTGACATGGATTCTGTTGTGTCTAAATTGGGCAAGGATGGACGACTTCACATCGAAGCTACGAGGAAAGCGCAGCCTAAGGCATCTGAGAGGAAGGTCGAAATCATTATGGATGAGTAAGAAGAGTAACGTCTCTTAAAGATTAAAAAAAATATTACGAGAAACAGAAAATAATAACAAAAACTAGCTAAAACGATGAAAAAATTCCCTGTAAAATTTAGACAAAACTTTCAACAAGGTAGGACTATAGCACCTTTGGTTTATTCTGGAATGTAAAATCAATATTATAATGATATTCTTCGTGTTTTGGTGTGTAAAACTATTCGTGTTTCATCAAGGTAATTTTCTTCTATCATCGCTCATCATGAGATACAGTAAACAGCTATGTAGCCCCACTTTTTATCGAAATAACTCCACAACAGGGCGTGAGACCAACAACTAAATTTTCAAACTAAACAAGGTACTTCAAAAAGTAAACAGCTTTGACATCGAGGTTACCAGTGACAAATAAAAACCACATTTCCTCAAACAGTGGGATTGTAGTGCTGATTTGAAGAGAAACTTAATTTTATATTCTGCTGGGAAAATCGAATATGATGAATAAAAATAAAAGACTGTCGCTTTGATGTCGTTCTCATGTTGATTTTGAATTTAATATTAATATCTGCGACTAATATACACATTGAAATCTTTTAAGTCTATTTTGATTTATTCATTTTGCGAAATGCGTTGTTTTGGGCATTGAGAGAGCCGTTTGTTGAATAAAACCGAGCTGACTATCCCGAGGCGTACAATTAACGACCAAAGACAATTTTGTACCAAGCGATTAATTTAGTTTTACAGCGCACGCCGTTTTCCGGCCACAGGATTTAATTAACTGCAAGTACCGAGTAAAGTATAAGGATGAAAAGCTTTGAGTCGTATAATGGGCGTTTTGCTTTCATAATTTGTCTGCTTACTCAACCAGAAATAAACTGACGCGGCGGCGACATTTTGATGTCTGAATCAATAATGTGCTACTTTAAAACCACTTTTGTGGTTCTGGTGATTTGGCGGGAAAACGGCTCAGGTTTAGCCAGCGCCTTCCACCATCAGAAATCCCGGGTACTACAGAATAAAATGCACTATTTCTTATTAAATGGGAGTGCTGGATTTTCTAGAAACTTCTCTCGTAATCCTACACGCTTTGCTACACAAGACAATCCCGTTCTATCTTAAAACTAATCCACATTTTGTGCATAAAGATTTTCGCATGCATACCTCCTGAAAGATTTGGTCAAAGGGTCAAAGAAGGCGTGAATCCAAATGTTACTCTATTTAACATAGTAAGCGTAACAAACCCTTAGTTACAGCACAAATTCAAATACCGCAACACTTCTGTATTCTTTAATACCGTATCAATTTCGTATAATTGATTTCAAATTAATATTAATTAAAAATTAATACTTATTAAAAAACAATGGAATTGACAGTGCCGTTAACACTTCATTACACTAGGCATTTATCATAGCTCGCTGTAGCGTGAAGCTATTAAGACTAACTTACAGTTTAATTGCACATTGTCACTTTGGGATAATTAATTACCATCGTAATGGTCAGTTTGTATTTTATATTATATAATATCGTGATGCTAGTATCGTTCTCCCGTGAATTATTCGTTCTCTACAACGTTAGTCTCTCGTAATCTTTAACTGCCTTTCTCTGTTCGACGGTATCTGTTCTAGTCTCGGCGCTTCGATGTGTAATTGACCCTGTTTGTCAATACGAGACACTACTTTCGCCATGTCCACGTCTTTGGGCAACAGAAAGTGACGGTGAAACTGTCGAGAACTCGACATTCCTCCTTCTTGCTTCTCACGTACAGCATGCACCGACAGTTCATTCCCTTTTACTTTGACTTCCACTTCGTCTGGGGAAAAATCACTAACATTCAGAGTCACAGCAAACTTCTTGTCATCGGTCCTAGATACGTCCTGTGAGGAACACCCCAGGAGAGCGATATCTAGATCCTGAGTGGGAGTCTTGTACGCCTCAACATGAAGGACACCATCATGAGTTATACGCGATGAAACAGACGAGGGATCAATTCCTTCTGGCAACGCGAAAACCCTGTGGAATTCACTTGTCTCAGATCCATATTTTCCTTCCGAGTGATGTTTTCCATCTACGTGAATTTTTCGATTTTCAACACGAAGTGAAATTTCCTCCGGCCTGTAGTTGGTCACATCTAATGTTGTAATAAGTGTCTTGCCGCTGCTCATAGTGGTTAGTGTTTCGTCTCTCCTACGATTATTCACTCCTTCAGTCTGAAACTATCTTGATTCAACCAGGGTGTGATGTTTTTATACTCTGTCTCGGATTTCTAGAATCCTACCTCTTTTAATGCTAAACATGCCAATCAATATTACTATATTTGTCGAGTGTAATTATCCTGGGTAATTTATGACTGACATTAAGATTTAAATGTTACGTTTCAGGGGTTTTTCAAGATATTTTCCTTCCAGAATGAAGCTGAAGATTCGATTAATCAACTCATCGCTAAATATGGTCTCAGTTGTACCGAAGCTCTCGTCAAGTGGATTCCAGACATCGTTCGAGTGTCTCACTGATTTACAATGTGGTCCTAATCTGGCCAACACGAGGGATACTTATGTCTTTGCTAAAACCTTTTCAGCCAAACAAAATGATCCAATACAACTTGTCGTTTAATTCAACAGAAAATTCAGGCTAAATTTTGAATAATCTCAAATAATAAAATCAATTTTCGACGAAGGTTTGAACCTTCAACCTGCCTGCAATGACAGGCGACGATGATAAAAAACATTGCTCTCAATTCCAGAGAAAAAATACGCAGTCAAATCTCGAATTATTTTATGTCTATGATATTGATATAATTTCCTGTGATATCTGTTCGTGGAATATTGGTTTACTTTATATATTTTGTGCAATATTCCTGTGAATGATCAAAGCTTTTTACTTTGTTACACCCAATATCAATGATTCAAGGTGTGGAAGATGAAATATCGAGACGAGAGATGAAAAGATAAAAACACAACCAATTGTAATTCATAACCTTTCTAGGAATTATACTGATAACCTTTTAAAGCACCAGATAAGTATTGTGTCTACTTTTATAGTCTATTGGAATAATGAGGACATATCAAAGATGATATGGGGTCAAATAATGAACAATGTCATCTGTACTAGAGGAATATATAAACATATCAAGAATGGTTCATGAATGACTCTTGCAATATTGTCTAATGATGATGATGATAATGATGATGAT